TCCACTGCAGCAGGAAAAAGAAAACAAAAAGAAAACCACCAGAACAAAATGTATTTTGACCTTTTAAAAAAACAAATGCAAAATAGACTCACTGTAAAAAATTTGGAAACTATAGATAAGCACAAAGAATGAGTAGAAATCGCTTGTCATTTTAACACCAGGAGAAAACACAGCCAACGTTCTAGTGTGTACCCCTATAGTTTTTTTCTTTTCTTCTTGCTTTGCTGCCTTAATAGCGGTCTTATGAACATTCCCTGTGTCATTAAATATTTGGGATCTTGTAGCATTGCTCACGCTGACTGCACTCCGTGGGCTTCTGTGACCTGCAGTCTCCTGGGGAGGCTCCTCTGGCCTCTCAGACTCTGTACTGATCTTCCCTCGCTCCTTTCCCGCCTGCACTGAAGGCTGCCTCAAAAATCCCCTACCACCCACCTACCTGGCCACCACTCCCTAGTGGCGTTTTCCTGCCCACGTCTAGGCCTCCATGTCTTGCCATTTGCCTGCCGTAGGCTTGACCTGGAGATCTGGCTCATCTTCCTCCCAAGCTCCTTCCTCTTGCTTCCCTGTTTCTGCCAATGGCCTCTCCATCCTTCCCATCACCAGGCTCCAAACCTCAGGGTCAGCTTGGACTCCTTTTCTCGCATCCCACCCCACCCCCAGCGCACCCCTTGATAAACCGTGTCGATTTTGCCATTGCTTTCTCTTGTCTATGTGTCTCCCTGCCCAGCTTGCCTGGCTGTTGCCAGAAGGCCCTTACTTGGTCCACATGGCTGCCAGTGTGTGTGTGGTTTTGCCCAGATACAGCTCTGACTGTGGTTCCTCATCCTTTCCGCACACCCCTCCCACGCACACTCACACACATCACATTACATCTTGCCTGTAATGGCAAGGATTGCAGAGTTGGGCTGAAATATGTACTCTAACTGGACTGTTCTAGCCACTCGTAGCGGGGCCCCAGATAAACTCTGCTTGCTTCAGAAATCAGTGGTACGTAAGTCTCAATACAGTGTAGCCTGTCCATGTCTCATGGAATGCCCATTTGCCAAAGAGAGGTAGAGACAAATATTTTCTTCCAAAAGAATATATGGGGAAAATATTTTTTCAAAATTATCAGCTTATTAACATGTTTTACTATATCTTTATTTTTCCCAAATACAGATATATAATACATGAGCACTAAAAAATTCAAGTTCAGAAATACACACTGTAGAAAGTCAAAATTCCTTGTGATCCCACTCATAAATAATCACGGTTAATGGTTAGGTGTATTTTCAAGACTCATCCTTCAAATGGGATCATTTGTACTTAATGGTTTGCAATTTGCTTTTTTCATTTGCATCGTACTGTACTCTGTTATCAGTATACGTAGAGTTACATGGCCCTTTTAGATGGCTTTTTCATATTTCATCACATGGAGATACAGTAGTCTAGGAAAATAGATGTTGAAACAGCAAGTCTATTTGAGCAAACAGACAAGTAAGGAGGAAGTAAAATTCATCTGTTTATGCCTCTTACCTCCCATTTGTCTTTTTTTTTTTTAATAGTTTATTTTTGTTGTTGAAAATATACACAGAACATACACCAAATGAACAATTTCTACATACACAATTCGGTGACACTGATTTGTCCCCTCACTTGTTGCTCTGCCTTCCTTGTCTCAAAGCTGTTTGTCTTTTTCCCTACACAAGAGAGGGGTGTCTGACTCATCTCTCTACCTCTGTCACTTAAGCCAGAGCTGGACAAAGAGTAGATGCTATATGTTTGACAGAATGTAATCAATCTTAAGTGGACATGGACCTCAGGTGAGCATGTGCTAGTTCATCTTCATGGATGAAGTGAACCAGGTGTTTAAATTATCCGAGAAGAAAATGGAAATAGGCGCTGGGTGAGTGGTGGGGCTATGATGAATTTGCTGCTTCCTCCAGGTGAAGACTACCAGGCAGCAGGATAATCAGGTCCAGGTAGCTGGAGAAGTCTTGGTGGAGAACAGGTATTAGGGAGTCATCAGTGATAGGTGGTTAGCAAAACCATTTGTGTGTGGATGAGATCTCTCAGGGAGAGTGCCAGAGAGGAACCTGGGGAGCCCCACCATTGAAGGAGTAAGTGGAGGTAGGAAAAAAACCCATGAAGACTCAGATGGAGGAGGGTATCAGGAAGCCTGGGCAGGAAGGCCTAATCAAGAGTCAAAGTAGGAAAAGGTTAGGATTTTAAAACGTCCCTTGGATTTGGCCATTACTAGGTCATTGATGACCTGTGTCAGATCATTTCTCTGTGGTGGTGGGAGGAGCTAGAGTGTAGTGGTTGAAGAATGAAATAGGACATCTGATACTCTCAAATTTGCTTTTAGAAGAGTGTGAGAGCTCTTAGAGAGTTGGAGTTTATTTTAAACTGCAAGATTTGCACGTTGATAATGTTAAATGATAATGCTGAGGATTAAAGAGAGATTGAGAGCCCTGCAGCAGAGGAGTGAGGTTGGCATGGCTACAGATTGTCTCAGTAATGAGGGCACAGGTTGAGGGCTTCTCATCAGATGACCTCAGCAATCAACATGAAGTAGGAGGCAGGATCCTCAACTGTGTAGTCTAGGAAGAGAGGAGGATGTCAGAGGCTTGAAGAGAATGAGTGGGGAGAACTAACCAGACATTCCTGGGAGTCATGTTCTGAGCAGAATGGAAGTGTCCATTTAAACTGGTCCAGAGGGAGGGTTAGCAGGACCAGTGCCACAAAAAGAGAATAAGGCAAGAACCGGAAGGATCCTGAAAGAGGGTGGGAAGCCATGAAGCCAAGAGGACAGGGCTGAGAAAGGGGTCAAGGGCTCGGGGACAACAACATTCCTTCAGTCAACATTTATTGAGTGCCTATTATTCACCAGGCAATGGGGACACAATAGTGAGCAAAACAGATACATGCTTCTGCCCTCAAGGAGTTCACAGAGTGGTAGAGAGAGCTTTAGAGACAGGTGCCTTTGTTCAGGGGAAAGGCTAAACAATCTCCCAGAGCAAATTGGGAATAACTGTGGCAGGCTGACCAGGTTGGAGGATGACAAGGGAGGGGTGGCAAAGCCTGAGCCTTTTAAAAGGAAGGTTTTTGTGCCCAGGTACCGGAGTACTGAGTTAGGCTAGGAAGCAGTTCTGGAAAGACTGCAAGTCCAGGTAATATGGACTTGGACAATAGGTGCTACATCCATTTCCCCTGGGTAATCCCAGAGCCTTGGTGACCAAAGATGGGAACAAAAGAAATGAAGGTGGTCAACGGGGCCATTACTCTCACCTGTGATCTAGCCCATGTGCCACTGTCATTCTTGTCAACACCTGCCAGCCTCTGTGGCAGCCTGTTGACAGATTTAGATGGGGTCACATGCTGGCATCCCGCTATCCAGTCCTGTTCATTTTATCCTGCTTGCCCTGTGTTTAGAGGCAGCGTGATTAGGTAGGTCTTAGGCTTGGCTGGAATAAAGGCACCAGCACCTGCGGTTACAAATGGCCCTCCAACTCCACCTTCCTACGCATCTGGTAGAGCTCAATAGCTCAGTGAATACTTGGCACCATTAGCAGCCATCAATGAGGAATGGAGAAATTTGGGAGCCAGCAGATAATTTATGGGTATTGATTGGAAAATAAAAACTTAGTGAATACAACAGATCCTGCCACTGTGAATCATTTACATAGCAGGTTCCAGTCTGGAAAAACCAGAGTTAACACAAGAACAAAAGGGTATCATAACAACTGTTTTCACATACATGGTTAGAGCATGAAGAAACACGTGAGGAGCATTGAACATCCCAGCATTTGCTGATAGTATATTTAAAAAAAAAGTTCAACAATCACAAAATGCATGTTTACTATTTATATAGTACCCAGTATAAATATTTTAACACCTTGGGAGTAACTTGTTCCCACAAATGATTTTCAACGTATTCAGCCATACAACCAAGTACATTTATTTTCCTTTCCTTCCATCCAAAAAACTAAGAAGGAACTCAATCTTGATAAACCTAGTTTTGTTTTTGCTACCTTCTCTGTTGGAGAAAAACACAACAGGCAAGCTGGGTCTTAAGAAATGTTAGACCATTCAGGCCACTTGCCTCCATTCAACATGAGCATTCACTACATGACCACTCATGGTTAGGGTGAAGGCACTCTTTGCTGTGTAGTCAAAAACGATCACTATCAGAAGTGGGTTAGCATGTTCTAAAGATTTTCCATCTAGGAAGACCTAGTAGTCTCACCTCTGCCCCAGACGTTTTGCTCAACGGAGTTTTACTTTGGTTGAAGATTTTCATTCTTAATAGAACTTACTCTTTATTTCTTCATCCATATTTACATCTGGAATACCTTATTTATACATTTTATTTATCTGAAAAGGTATGGACTACCAGTCAATTTTCAGGCAGTGCTTCTACAACCTCATAAGAAGTCATCCACCAAACGTTTAAGAGAAGTGCTAAACTCCATCTTCAGACACTTGGATGAAGTAGCAGCTGCAAGTATATTGGATGTAGGTTTGCAAGTATAATAGCTGTATTTCTGTAGTAAGCCCCAACTCTCCATATGGGTAATATTTTCAGAAAATGGTACTTGCCAGCCTGTTATGGAAATCCGTACATCACAAATGTTACAGCCAAACAAGGAAAGACAGATGTGGGCATGTTGGTGGGGGTAGGAGTTGCAAAGCAGAAAATATGGTCAATGGCTGGAGAGCTTCCTCAAAAAAATATGAAAAATTAAAGACAAACAGGAAATTGTCGTTTATGTGACTAAACTATATTACCATGTCTTCTTTTACAGGCATCTGTGGAGATCCCAGGATTACAATTTAATAACCAGGATTATTTTCCTTACGTCTACTTCCACATTGACCTAAGTCTTCTTGACTAGAGAGGTCAGCCAGCACTACGCTTCCACATCCATGCAAACGACTACAGATGCCTCTTTCTCTTAGCCAGACAATTGTTTAAACGTCCTGTGTAATTTAGATTTGCAGAGAAATTGCTCACACAGTTAGGTACAGTTGTATTTATTTTTTTTTTAAGTTACAATAAAGAAATGCTCTCAGTCCTTTGAATTGACTCTTCGCTTAGATTCTAACACAATTCAACGTTCACTGTTTAGCCTTTCATTTCTGTTACGCACAAATGCGGACTCTGCCTACAAACCGGCAACCTGCTGCTGCATCGCCTGTCTTGACATTTTGAGAGTCGGGTCAGAATATAAACAACCTGGAGCTCATATTCCCGATTAGGCACTAGTGATGCCCTAAAAGACAAAATACTGGGCATGAAATGCAGTTCTCAAATGACAATCCATTGTCTTCCATACTTTAAAAAAACTGCTTTACATTTACAAATGGAATTTAAAATTTTAGAACACATAAAATCTGCATCGTGGCAGGTATTCAGATGACATCATCTGAATGAAAAGGGTCTTTTTTTCCTTTTAAAAAAGCTTATAAGGAGGAAAGACATCAGGGGAGTCACTTTATAATATTAATTTACTGGCTGAACATCAGACTCTGAATTTATGATATGGACAGTAATTTCATACATTTATCAGCATTGTCCAAAATATTTGTTTTATTCTTCAATGGAAAAAAACCATGAATATTCAAATGAAGGAATCACAATAAAAAACACATATAAGAAACAGCCTTAAGGAACATTCAGGCAGCAGTCAGAGGGATGGAAAATACGTTTCAACACACCATCAGTTTTCTTCAAATATTATTTGACAGAATACAACCCAATTCACTGGCTACAACGATTCACAGAATTTTTTCAATGTTTTCCTGAGATGCAAAAGTTCACCGTTGCAGTGTTTTCAAATGACCAATCGAGTGCTACTTCTTGGTTACAAAGGCCACTGTAGATCCGTCGGATTGTTAGGAATGTTCTTTCACTGCTGGAAAAATCGGCTCCCAAGAAAAGAAAACTGAATTTTCATGCTGCGTATCTCACAACTCATCTTTCTCTAAGTCATCGAGCTCTACATCACTGAGATCAATATCATCTTCCACAGGAAGCTGTGAACAGAAGACCATCATGAATATGCACTGCTGCGTGTAACCCAGAACTGCAGGTACCCAGGGAGGGCCCTGAACATTCAACAAAACCAGTTTCTCCTCAAACCAGTTATTTTTTCACTTTGCCTATTATATAGATGGAAAAGCTGAGAACTCAGATGAAAAGTTATTTTAACACAGTACCCAGCTATCTCCTTCCAACTGAAAGCCATTTAAATTGTCCTTTTAAGGCAGCCTCTCCGAACTACACAGGAATAAATGCAAATTGTAAAGCTATAATTTTGTATCTCTCTAAGACAAAATAAATGAATTCCAGGTTAAATACTTACTTTAGGGGTGACAGTTAGGAAAACAAACTAATAATTATTGAAATTAAGTACCTTGGGTGTCTCTTCAAGAATATTTAATGCCACCTAGCACTTTTTAATAGGGAAGATCAGAGTGAAGTGTCTTGAGAGAGAATTTTAACAAAGGTCTGTGAGGCTATGCTAATATTCTGGCATGCCAAGGCTCTGGGTTTGATAGAAAGGAATTGATTTACAAGTAGCAAAAATGCACAAGGACGAACCACAGCCTCCTCTAGCCTGTGAACAGAACTAGATGGTGCCTGACTACCACTACCAACCACTCTCACCAGGATCACAGTGGAAGGTCCCAGGTAGAATGCATAAAAGATGTAGAATGAAATTCAAATTCAAAAAAAGAAAAAGACGACTTTCTGGTCTGAAAGAGCATGGAGGAACCCCTTGAGACTACTGCCCTAAGACAACCTACTAACTTAAAACTAGAGACACTCCCGGAGGCCACCCTTCAGCCAAATAATACACAGTGCTATAAAATAAACCACCTCTGTGAAGAGTGTACTCCTTAGGACAGTGGACTATGAGACCAAAAGGACAACATCTGCCCAAAACCAAAGATGAAAAGACAGGCAGGGACAGGGCAACTGGACTAAAGGGAAGGGGGAACCCAGCGAGGAAATGGGGAGTGCTGACACACGGCCGGGATTGTAACCAGCGTCACAAACCATCAGTGTAATAATCACTGATCAGAAAATTAATGTGCTAAGTAAACTTTCACCTAAAGCACAATAAAATGTTTTTTAAAAAATGCACAGGAATTTGGGAAGCAAAAAAAGGATTAAAAAATATAACAAAAACAAGCCCTATGCACTCGACTTACCTCACCATCCTTGCCATCCCAAGGTTCTATTGTACTTATTTTAGGGAAGGCCCCACCTCCTACAGGTGCTGTAGATCCACGCCCAAAAGAGAGCTCCCTTAAGGGAAAAAATTACCAAAACAAGCACATCAGTTTACAATGCATGTAGGCAACTTTCAAAAATAATGACTTGCCTAAAATGTCTACGCAAAAGTTATTTCTCACCTCTTGGTGCAATGTATTTCTGAAAAATATCTCATGAACAGTATTATATTCTCAAATAGGGACAATAATATAATTAGGTTTGAGAGTCTTCATTTAGGACTTGGCCTCAGATAAAGCCATTTACTATCAATAATTTTTAAGACCTAGCATTATTTTGCTAAAATACAAATTAAGTACATAAAAGCTATCCAAGTTGACCTAGAACGTGGATAAAAGCAATACTGATATATCTGATTAAGAAAATTCTCGAACTTAAGACCCTAGAAAGGCTTTCTGAAAGATGACTAGTCTCTGAAAACTAAAATTGAACTCCCTTCCTCAGATTTTTATAGCAAGCATTTGAAACCGGCCCCCAGGCCCACAGGCACTAGCAACTGCCTTAAAGTATTATCGGAGGCCTTCTCAGTCATCTATGTTGTTGCTGTTGTGTGCCGCCGAGGTGAGTCGTAGTGGGCCTATGGTAATCTACAACCTGTTGCCGTCGAGTCGATTCCGACTCACAGCGACCCTACACAACAGAGTAGAATTGCCCCACAGAGTTTCCGAGGAGCGCCTGGTGGATTCGAACTGCCGACCTTTTGGTTTGCAGCCGTAGCTCTTAACCACTACGCCCCCAGGGTTTCCACAGTAATCTATAGATGATGGCAATTCTCTCGCACCTCGAGCTGTAAGAAGAGGTATACCCAGGAACGGCATGTTAAGTCTTGACACTGTAGGTATTAAGAACATTTCACCGGGAAGGTGTAAAAACAATCACTAGGGTGTGAGCAAAGACTTCTTTCAAAGGAGCTTGCCATGATGCTCTGGTGAAGGGTACTCTGAATATTGTTAAAAGAAGGGGGAAACCTCCAAACCTCAGGATATCAACTCTCTTGTTATGTGTCTGACAATACTTATTTTGTATAGTGGGGAAAAAAATGGCTAATTTTATCCACTGCTTTTGCTACCTTGCTTTTTTTTACAATGTATATCAGTGGTTATTAAAAGGAGGCAACTTTGCCTCCCCTCCCTCCCTGGAACATTTGGCAATGTCTGGAGACCTTTCTGATGGTCACGATGGGTGGCAGTGGTGGGTTATCTACTGGGAGAGACCAGGAATGCTGCTAAACATTCTACAATGCACAGGACAACCTCCAACACAGTATGTCAGTAATGCCCAGCGTACATGTATCAGTTATATTCAGAAAACAGGATTAAAAATGGGCTCTAGAAACCCACTTCCCCACCAGTCATTAAACTGCCAGTATTAGCATAGGACAGGACGCTGACTAACACACAGGTGTACGGGCAGACAAAGAACACACAGTGTCTCACGCAGTTCTCCCTAAAATCTATGTCAGAATGGCTCAACTTACTATTAAGGAGCATGAGCAAATTTAAGCTTGCAAGGGAAACACAAATCCATGAGAGTAATAGAGAGCTAGCAGTTCTACTCTTGCTAGTTTTGTGTCCTTAATCAGGTTATTTATCATCTGCATCGGCTTCATCTATAGAACGCAGAGATGTATCTGCTATCGGACATTTGGCAGATGGGGTTGGTGCTCCCCACTTAATGTCAGCAACAAGAGTGACTGAAAGATGCCAAACCCTCGTTTTAAACGGGAACAAAACTCTTCAGGGCAGAGTTCGACTGTTTACATTTTTTTCAATACTCCTATTAAATGGTGCCCCTCCCCTCTCCCACTCTTCTTTCTAGGGCTAAATACTAACAGGTATCTCTACTACTAATTAAGAGAGACTGGGGAAAACATGGGAAACCCTGGTGGCGTAGTGGTTAAGAGCAACAACTGCTAACCAAAAGGTCAGCAGTTCGAATCCACCAGGCGCTCCTTGGAAACCCTGCAGAGCAGTTCTACTCTATCCTATAGGGTCACTATGAGTTGGAATTGACTCGACCGCAATAGGTTTGGTTTGGTGGGAAACACAGCCCCTGCTTTCAAAGAAACTGAACAGGCATCAACCGATATAAAAACTTAAGTCCGTTCTTCACATCTTTGTGCGTAATACACCATTCCAAACTTATATTTACACTACTGAACCTGAGAGTCCCTGCGGGGGGCAAGCAGGTAATGGACTTGCCTACTAAGTGAACAACTGAAGGTTCGAGTCCACCCGGTGATGCCTTGGAAGAAAAGCTGGAGATCTACTACCAAAAAATCAGCCACTGAAAACCCTACGGAGCAATTTACTCTGATACACATGAGGTTGCCAGGAATTGGAACTGACCTGACAGCAGCTGGTAAATTTGGTGTTAATACAGTTAGCCAAAATACAGTAAGCAATTAAATTCTCAACAAGTCTAGCTGACATTTCTCAGGAAGGATGTGGGAATCATTTAGTATGTTGTTTTGAGCTGATCACAGTTTTCAACTGCCGCCGCTCTATATTCATAAACTGTTAGTTTAGCTTCACTGTTACTAATTCTTACAGGTTGTTTGAACAACTTTACGTATTTGTGCTAACAGTATTTTTTAGCTTCATGTTTTTCAAAAGCCAGATTAAGACAGGTATGTGTACTTTTCAAGTATAAATAATTCATGCCTCTCACTGCTAAGCACAAAAGTACATCATCTCTCTGCTAGCTCTAATCCTGGGTTGTTTGAACGAGTCAACTTCACTGGTGGTGTGTTGTGTACAAGTTGACATCTTTTTGTTAGAAAACAAAAATTCATATGTAGCTAGAATCAAGTTTACTGTAATATATTTTTCTTCTTTCTACTTATTACCTCATACTCACCACTGGTAGCGTGGTAGGGTCTGAGGTCTTGGCTACTCCAAGACCAAGATACAAAGTTTGAGAACCACAAGCCTGTGTACTGGTCTCCAGCACGAAAGTGATTGTCTCAAGTTTATGACATACTTACATTGTCTTAAAAACAGCTAACATTAAGGGTTTTATTCTGTTCCAGTACTACTCTAAGCTTTTCCTGGTGATGTCTTTCAATTCTCCAAGGACACTATAGGAGGTGCTATTATTATCCCATTTAGAAAACAAAGAAACTGCGGTGCAGAAAAGTTACGTAACTCACCCAAAGCCAAATAGCTAGCAGAGACGTTAAAGAAGCTGCCCTTTCAATCACTCCACCATACCTCTGCTTTGCTCAAGGTCAGCTTAAACCTGTTGCTGTCTAATGGATTACGACTCAGAGACCCTATGGAAGCAGACTGCCACATTTTCCTCCTGCGGAGCGGCTGGTAGGTTCAAATCACCAACCTTTCAATTAGCAGCCAAACACTTAGCCACTGAGCCAGCAGGGCTCCTTCAAGGTCAGCTCACAGGTGGCAAAACTAACATGTGACCCTTGATAGTCTCACTTCAGAGCCCATACTCTTCTGGCCGCACAGTACAGTCCCCAAATGACTTCTGCTGATGTGAACTAGTAAGGCTGGCAGAAGAGGTGCACAGACTTTCAGAACATTATTATTACTTTTCACTATTCATCATAACCTCCTGAGCTACCTTTGTATGCTGAATAACTTTCATAAAGCAGCTGATAAATTAGAAAGGAAGAAAGTAAGACCTGAAACAAAAACTCTAGGTCAGTGCTTTGTATTCATCTAAGAAGTGACTGTATCAGCTTCTAGGATGAATTAAATAAATATAAGGCCCTAACAAGGGAACCTATCATGTTGTTCGCATACTGTTGGACTCATTTAAGTAAACCCACCCATTTTCAAATAACTACATTCCAAAGCCAAGTGCCCAGAAATGGAAACCCTATTACCTGAAGTCAGGAGTGCAAAGTACACTAGGGTAGGAATGGGTGAGGCAGGTCTGCCTTTATCCCTATGAGATCCACGAGAATTAGAAAAGGGTGCCCCTTGTGGTAACCCACAGAGCCCTATGCCAGGTGCACAGCATGGCAAGTAGGGTGGCCTGAGGGTAGGGAAACATTAGCATCACTCACCATATGGAGTACTTCCACTGGAAAAAGAACAAAGTAAGGAAAGATGATTTAAATGCTCTAATTTGTAATTATCTCATTCTCTAGAATTTCAAATCCAGAATAACTACATTTATTGCCTGGTCTATACAAACCTAGTTTTGAATCAAAAACTGCAAGGGAACCAGACAAAACAAAACCCTGCCCACTCCAGAAAGTAAGACCAGAAAACAAGCCATTACCTGAGAAATTCATTAATGCCCTGCTCACTGAAAGACCCTTTCAGAAGTGCAAATTTCATCTTGCGTGCATTAATGGCGGCCATGGCGGGGTATCCAAACCCGCCAATCCCCAGTGCATTCTCAAGCTCATACTGGGCGCCAGCTTCTGCCCACAGCCATCTAGAAAAGCAAACTGGATTTTAGGGCAAGGATCCCTTTCAAATTAGTTAGAATCTGGTAGATCTTAATTAAAGAATAAAAGATTATACTTCAAATATTTTGTGGAATGAAATGGGTACAGGAATACATCAAAGAACAAAAGATAAATTTTTAAATAATGTATTTTAGATGGGCCTTTAGCTAACTCTAGCTCCTCCCTTTTGTTCCCATAAGCCCTAACTCCAGAAGTCTCCAGAATGAACTGGTCTATCTACTCAGACAGTTTTTTGCCCAATCCCCACCAGTCCACTAAATTACATAAATTTCCCCTTTCTTTGTTACCTGAAATTTGACCAGTATCACCTGGGTTATTTTGCATACTCTTTAAAACATGTAACAATTTCTTTTAAAAAAGAGTTACGGATGAGTCATTAACCAATACTGTAAAAATGCTCAATCAAGTATCTTAAACTAACTTTTAAAATACTATGTATAAATAATTTTAGAATGCAGCATTTTGTAGGCATATAATAAATATTTGTTAGAATAATGACAGAGCAATAAGGTCTCTGCGAGAGGGACAGCAGGGGCACCAGGTACCTGTGGAAGCATCTCTTGGATAATGTGGACAAGAAGCAAGAAGATGAATGAAAAGGAGATACATTTTGTTTTAAAAATTTGCCCAGATCCAGCCTTCACTCTTTATTTAGTCTCCAGAGCTCTGGTAGAAGTCAGCTACATTCCTAATTAAGTTTTTGCTTGCTAGCCTGGGACCCCACCCACCATTTAAAATATGATTTCTACGAGAAAAATGTACACTGTGGTACATAGAAGTGTCTTATAAGCTTTTATCAGAATCTAACCATTAAAAGCTGTATACAATGAAGTCATCTTTTAGTTTTATTACATGACTCTTGGGATTTAAGAACGACTTTTCTGGTTACTTAAGAGTAAAGATAATTTTCCCCTAACTCTGTAGAGGCTACTTTGTTTCAAACCTTACATGAATCCAGGTTTATTCCGTTATTTGTGGCCACAGAAAAATTCTTCCACATCCTAAAATAAATCTGCTGTTAAGATAACTTTGATAGTGAGATTAAAAAGTTTAATAACTTACCCCCACATTTTCTTTTTGTATTTGTCTGCCAACTTCAGAAGAACTTCCAAATAAGAATTTCTGCCTGTAGCTCCTGATTTAAACAGACAAAAGTTTTTAAATGTAGAAATAAAGCAGTCCATAAAATTACTCTTTTTAGGATGTCTTCTCAAGAGTTCATGGCCATAGAACCAATGGAAAATGAGTTTCTGCTAATCTTACCAGTATCAAGAATATGGGGCAGCACAGCCACAACACAGAGCTGATGATCTTCACAAGTCTTCTTGGCAATGTCCTCACTAATTATCTGAGGAAACCCAGAAGACAAAGCATTGTTATAAGTACTGTTTCAGGGTGCATGACACAATACCCAAAAAACTTAGCACTGTCATTTTCACTAAAGGGATAGACTCTACCAAATAATACTTCTTGTATGCATTAAGGAAACAACAATAGTGCTTTATAAAAGATGTTTATATCATTATGGTAATTTCACTAAGAACTTCAGTCCTTGCAAAACCCCAACAACAAAAACACAATAATAACCCAATTAAAAAATGGGCAAAGGATATGAACAGGCACTTCGCCAAAGAAGACATTCAGGCGGCTAACAGACAGATGAAGAAATGCTCACGATCATTAGCCATTAGAGAAATGCCAATCAAAACTACAATGAGATACCATCTCACCCCAATAAGGCTAGCATTAATCCAAAAAACACAACATAATAAATGCTGGAGAGGTTGTGGAGAGACTGGAACACGTATACACTGTTGGTGGGAATGTAAAATGGTACAACCACATTGGAAATCGATTTGGTGTTTCCTTAAAAAGCTAGAAAGAGAACTATCATCCGATCCAGCAGTCCCGCTCCTTGGAATATATCCTAGAGAAATAAGAGCCATCACACGAATAGATATATTTACACCCATGTTCACTGCAGCACTATTCACAATAGCAAAAAGATGGAAACAACCTAGGTGCCCATCAACGGAAGAACGGATAAACAAATTATGGTATATCCAAGCAGTGGAATACTACACAATGATAAAGAACAACGATGAAGCCATGAAACATCTTGTTAAGATGGAGGAAGCTGGAGGACATTATGCTGAGTGAATTCAGTCAGTCACAGAAGGACAAATACTGCATAAGACCACTATTATAAGAACTCAAGAAAAGGTTTAAACACAGAAGAAAACATTCTTTGATGGTTACGAGGGTCAGGAGGGAGGGTGTGGGTTACTCGATAACTAGATAGTAGACAAGAATCTTAGGTGAAGAGAAGGACAGCACACATTACTGGGGAAGTCAGCACAACTGGACTCAACCAAAGCTAAGAAGTTTCCTGAATACAAACACTTTGAGGGACAGAATAGCAGGGGAGGGAGTCTGGGGACCACGCTTTCAGAGGACATCTAGGTCAATTGGCATAACAAAGTTTATTAAGAAAATGTTCTGCATCCTACTTTGGTGAGTGGCATCTGGGGTCTTAAAAGCTAGCAAGTGGCCATCTAAGATGCATCAATTGGTCCCAACTACCTGGAGTGAAGGAGAATGAAGAACACCAAAGACACAAGGAAAGTATTAGCCCAAGAGACAGAAAGGGACACAAAGACCAGAGACTTCATCAGCCTGAGACCAAAAGAACTAGATGGTGCCCGGCTACCACCAATGACCGCCCTGACAGTGAACACAACACAAAATCCCTGATAGAGCAGGGAAGGGTGGGATGCGGAACTCAAATTCTAGTAAAAACACCAGACTTAATGGTCTGAGACTGGAGGAACCCCAGAAAGCCTGGCCCCTGGACTCTCTGTCAACCCATAACTAAAATAATTCCCGAGGCCAACTCTTCAGACAAAGATTGGACTGGACTGTGGGACATAAAATGATATTCACGAAGACTGCTTCTCAGCTCAAGTAGATACATGAGACTAAAAGGGCAGCCTCTGTTCAGAGGTGAGATGAGAAGGCAGAGAGGGTCAGGAGCTGGCTGAACGGACACGGGCAATCGGGTGGAAAGGAGGAGTGTGCTGTCACAGTATAGGGAGAGCAATCAGGGTCATGTAACAATGTATGTATAAATTTTTGTATGAGAGACTAACTTAAATTGTAAACTTTCACTTAAACTACAACAATTAAAAAAAAAAACTTCAGTCTTCTATGTGAACATTTTTTACATATTTCTAAGACATCTGTCTGTGGCGGTAGTGAGCTATTTGCACATGTGGTGCAATGAGTTCCTTTATGTGGCCTTTTGCCTTGGTTCTTTGGGAAAATAGCTTGAGACATTTTCCTAAGGAGTTGTTACCTTTCCCCTAGTTCTTTAGAGAAACAACTTGGGGGACCTCCCAGGTTGCCTTCTACCCCAGGAGGCTGGTACTTCTACCCACAGGAGGAGGTCCCTGCTGGCAGAAAATGTTACCCTCTGAGGTGACTGACAACTCATGGGTAACTGAGAACTGGTTGAACTCTGGCCTGTGAAGGAGGCCCTGCCTTGTAACTGATGAGGATTGAGACATATAAACGGCTGACACGCACAGGTTTTCAGATACTTCCTGGTTGACAGGAGAAGGGAAGTGTGTCCTTGGACATGGAGGGTCCTCTCAGGCCTGGTACAAAAAAGCTGCAGCTGAGAGAGCTGCTGGTTAAGACCTGGGCTGGCAGAGAAGCAGAGCCACCTGGGAGCAGAGCAGTCCTGCTACACTGGCTATGAACTAGGCCAGTTAGCAACTGAGAGGCCTGACAGCAGAGAGCCTGATGGTAAAGAGGCCTGAAGGCACTGAGCAGATGAGCGAACTGATACACTGGCTATGAGCTGGGCCAGTCAGCAACAGAGAGGTCCGCGGCGGAGCACCTAACAGCAGAGAAGACAGCTGCCTGGCAGAGAAGCTGCGCCTGCTAATCACTGGAGAAGGATGGCGGCACTGGCCCAGAACAGTGCTAGCTAGAGCTGTTCCAGAAGACAGCTTATTTGCTCTACTTGAGGCACCCTTCCAGACCTTGCCTGTGGGCTTCCTGACGCTGATGTCAAGTTGTTCCTGTGACTTCCAGGTTGATCCTGAACCTAAGTTGTAGCCTGTTACATCCCTAATAAGCCACATAACTGTGAGTATGGTCCGTGAGCTGTGTGTGGCCGTTGCAACCAATTATGGAACCCAGCAGAGAAGCAGAGTGCCGTGGGGGGAGTGGTTAGTATCAGAAATAATGGAGAAGTGGGAAAGTGGAGATATACCTGACCTGTACCTCACAGGAACCAGCTTTGTGCTGATCCTGATTCTTATGAATTTAGACAATCAATTTTGCTCTATTACAGCATATATACATAATCTCTGAAATCAGCGTTTGGGTTCCTATCATGGGTCTACCATTTTTATCCCTTTTTTACATATGGGGAAACTGAGGCATGGAGAGCTTCCTAAAGTAATTTCTTCAAGCTCATATAAATAATATCTATTATTATTTACATGAAAGTAAATGAGAAAAAATCTACGTAAAAGCACTGGAAAATTACATGGCTACGTACACAATACACACTAGCTATTATTTTGAGAATGATAAACAAAAAAGTGACTAGATCCACTCTACTGGTAAGAAGCTTAGGGTACATTTTTGCTCACAGTGCAATTATTTTAGTGCCAAAAGCTATGAAAAGAAGCATTTCATCAGACATTTTTTTGCCCATTTGGAAGTTCAAATCACTTTAATATTCCCCACTATCAGACTGGGAAAGCGTTTCTTAGTATAAATGATTTCGGTGGTTTACCTCAAGCAGCTCAGGAGGTGGGGCATTATCAGAAAACAAATCTAAGGCCCGTGAAACTATGTCAGATTTTGTCCGACCACCATCATAATCCACAGGAGGCTCGCCTTTCTGAAAAATCTTGATTGTAGGAAATCCCCTAATCTATTTAAAAAAAACCAAACACCACTGTATGAAGTAAAAATAACATTAATTAAAGACAACACAATTTCTATGGTTCCTAAAACCACCTTAGAAGTAATTTAACAAAAACATCCCAGTGTGCCATCAATGTCAAAGGGTGACACACGCAGGTAGTGTCAATCAGGGAGTCTTTAACAGGCTGTGAGGTTTAGCCAAATCTTACTCAAGCCCTGCATCTACAATTAATACAATGTATCTATTCTAGAACAAATGGATCACCTTTCAAAAGCCATATGAAAAACTTGTAGAAACTCGGGCGAGCTGAGCTACGTTAAGTACACAGTAGAAATAGGGTGATGTTAAAAACAACAAAAATACGACAGCCCTGAGTTCCAGACTTAGTAGTTTTGACAATAAGGTGACTTAAGCTAAATTCTTACATCCTTATTTACAGACTGGCTGAACACTTCCCTCCTACCTTATGGGGAGGCCTGGAGAACCAAATGGGGAAACACTTGACAATACTGTGTATTTTACAAAGAAATGAGTCTTATAAATATACTCACCCCGTATCGGTTGGCTAGGACCTGATTAACTGTAGCATCTACAGCTGCTAGTTTCACTTTTCCTTTTGTCTGCTCTTTCACCTCCGTAGCTGCAGCAGCCCATTCTGGCTCTAGACTATGGAAAAAGATTTGCATTTTAACTCAAAGCAAATACACTTTAACTAATTTATGTAGCTTTCTCTCCAATCCAGATATGTCACACCTGGAAACCACACTGCGCGTAGCTTTACAAACTTTTGATACCATCCTTTGCATTTGCTTTCCAATCCTTCATTACTTCCCCCAACTCTGGATCCTACTCCCCTGTTAATTCTTGAAATGACGGAAGGAACTCTAGGCACTAATATCAAGGTTTAACATTCGCTGAGTATCAGCTTTTCTGCACAAAATCTCAGAGGTTATCTATTATCTACTTCACCTCTTTCAAAATGAACCAAATACATACACTAGAAGTTCAGTGACTTAAAAGACAACTTGGTAAACAATACTTACTTTTTGCAGTGTCCACACCAAGGAGCATAAAACTCAACCATCCAAACATCTTCGCTATCTAGGACATTTTTGTCAAAGGTGTCATCTGTCAGTTCAATCACGTCTTTCTTACTTGAACTTTCACTTCTGCCCTGTCATTTAAGTACATGCAAAATCTTAAATTACAACTTGGTCAAAAATAACACCATTCCAGTTATAAATGCGTATGTGTGTGTGTGTATATATATGGGAGGGGAGGGTATATATGTATATATCCACACTCGGTCTGTCAGTCTGTCATACTGGGTGGCTTGTGTGTTGCTGGAAGCTAAGCTGTGCCATGGCATTTCAAATACCAAAAGAAAAAGAATAGAAGCACCATTACTTTTACATTGAAGTACTGTTTCACTAAAAACAAACAAACAAAAACACCTCAGTAGGGTCACCCGTGGTGGACAGGTTTCAGCAGAGCTTCCAGACGAAGACAGACTAGGAAGAAGTACCTGGTGGTCTACTTCTGAAACAACTGGGCAGTGAAAACCTTATGAATAACAGTGGAACACTGTCTGATATAATGCCAGAAGATGAGCCCCTCAGGTTGGAAGGCACTCAAAAGATGACTGGGGAAGAGTTCCCTTCTCAAAGTAGAGTCAATCTTAATGACGTGGATGAAGTAAAGCTTTTGGGACCTTCACTTGCTGATGCAGCACAACTCAAAATGAGAAGAAACAATTGTGAACATCCATTAATAACTGGAAAGTGGAATGTACAAAGTATGAATCTAGGAAAATTGGAAGTCATCAAAAATGAAATGGAACGTTTGAAGATTGATCTCCTAGACATTAGTGAGCTGAAATGGACTGGTATTGGCCATTTTAAATCAGACAATCATATGGTCTACTATGCCAGGAATGACTTGAAGAGGAATGGCATCACATTCATTGTCAAAAAGAACATTTCAAGATGTATCCTGAAGTACACTGCTGTCAGCGATAGGATAATATCCACACCCCTACAAGGGGAGACCAGTTAATAAAACTATTATTCAAATTTACGAACGAGCCACTAATGCCAAAGATGAAGAAATTGAAGATTTTTATCAATTTCTGCAGTCCGAAATTGATCATACGTGCACTAAAGATGCATTGATAATTACTGGCGATTGGAATGTTGAAGTTGGAAACAAAGAAGAATCTGTAGTTAGAAAATACGCCCTCGGTGATACAAACGATACTGGAGATCTCATGATAGAATTTTGCAAGACCAGTAACTTGTTCACTGCAAATACCCTTTTTCAACAACATAAACAGCGATTATACATGTGGACCTTGTCGGATGGAATACACTGGAATCAAATCAACTACATCTGTAGAGACAGACAATGGAGAAGCTCAATATCATCAGTCAGAATAAGGCCAGGGGTTGACTGCAGAACAGACCATCAACTGCTCATATGCAAGTTCAAGAAGAAGATGAAGAAAATTAGAACAAGTCCACAAGAGCCAACGTATGACCCTGAATATATCCCACCTGAATTTAGAGACCATCTCAAGAATAGATTTGACTCATTGAACACTAATGAATGAAGACCAAATGAGTTGTGGGATGATATCAAGGACATCGTATACGAAGAAAGCAAAAGGTCATAAAAAAGACAGGAAAGAAAGAAAAGACCAAAATGGATGTCAGAAGAGAGTCTGAAACTTGCCCTTGAATGTAGAGTAGCTAAAGGGAACAGAAAAAATGATCATGTAAAAGAGTTGAGCAGAAGATTTCAAAGGGCAACGAGAAGACAAAGTGTAAGTATTATGATGAAACGTGCAAAGGCATGGAGTTAAAAAACCAAAAGGAAAACACACTTGGCATTTCTCAAGCGTAAAGAACTCAAGAAAAAATTCAAGCCTCAAGTTGCAATTCTGAAGGATTCTACGGGCAAAATACTGAACAATTCAGGAAGCATCAAAAGAAGATGGAAACAATACACAGAGTCACTGTACCAAAAAGAATTGGTCAACGTTCAACCATTTCAGGAGGTAGCGTATGATCAAGAACTGATGGTACTGAAGGAAGAAGTCCAAGCTGCACTGAAGACACTGGCAAAAAACAAGGCTCCAGGAACTGATGGAATACCAACTGAGATATTTCAACAAATGGATGCAGTGCTGGAAGTGCTCACTCATCTATGCCAAGAAATCTGGAGAACAGCTACCTGGCCAATCGACTGAAGAGATCCATATTTGTGCCCATTCCAAAGAAAGGTGATCCAACAGAATGTGGAAATTATCGAACAATATCATTAACATGAGACACAAGTAAAATTTTGCTGAAGATAATTCAAAAACAGTTGCAGCAGTACATCGACAGGGAACTGCCAGAAATTCAAGCCGGATTCAAAAGAGGACATAGAACGAGGGACATCACTGCTGATGTCAGATGGATCTTGGCTGAAAGCAGAGAATACCAGAAAGATGTTACTTGTGTTTTATTGACTATGCAAAGGCATTTGACTGTGTGGATCATAACAAATTATGGATAACACTGCAAAGAATGGGAATTCCAGAACACTTTATTGTGCTCATGTGTAACCTGTACATAGACCAAGAGGCAGTTGATAGAACAACGGGATACTGTGTGGTTTAAAATCAGGAGAGGTACGTGTTAGGGCTGTATCCTTTCATCATACTTATATTCAATATGTATGCTGAGCAGTCTGAGAAGCCGGACTATATGAAGAAGAACATGGCATCAGGATTGGAGGAAGGCTCATTAACAATCTGTGATATGCAGATGACACAATGCTTGCTGAAGTGAAGAGGACTTGAAGCACTTACTGATGAAGATCAAGCTCTACAGTATGGATTGCACCTCAACATAAAGAAAACAAAAATCCTCAGAACTGGACCAATAAAGCATTATCATGATAAATGGAGGCAAGATTGAAGTTGTTAAGGATTTCATTTTACTTGGATCCACAATCAACACTCATGGAAGCAGGGGTCAAGAAAGCAAACAACATATTGCATCAGGCAAATTTGCTGCATAAGATCTCTTTAAAGTGTTAAAAGCAAACGTCACTTTGTGGACTAAGGCGCACCTGACCCAAGCCACAGTTATTTTCAGTCTCCTCATATGCATGCGAAAGCTGGACAATGAATAAGGAAGACCAAAGAAATGACACCTTTGAATTATGGTGTTGGTGAAGAATACTGAGTATACCATGGACTGCCAAAAGAAGAAACAAAGCTGTCTTGGAAGTAGTTCAATCAGAATGCTCCTTTGAAGCGAGGATGGCAAGACTTCGTCTCACATACTTTGGACATGTTATCGGGGGGATCAGTCCCTGGAGAAGGATACTGTGCTTAGTAAACTAGAAGGTCAGTCAAAGTGGGGAAGATCCTCAAGGAGATGGACTGACACACTGGCTGCAGCCACGGGCTCAAGCATAACAACTGTGAGGCGCAGGACTGGGCAGTGTTTTGTTCTGTTGGACACAGGGTTCCTGTGACTCAGAACCAACTCGACAGCACCTAACAACATGTGTGTGTATATATACACATATGTATGTATACAAAACATTAGTCATGTCTACATCTTAAAGAAGTTTTAGAATTTTTATTCTTCAAGTAAAAACTATTCAATTGAAATTGGGGGCATTCCTTAATATTACTATTTTCGCACGGTAAACAGTCTACTTTCAATAAAGACCAATACATAAAGTATAAAATACATCATGTGCTTGAATTGCATCACCTGCCTTTTATAAGAGAAACTCTAATGTGGCTCAAAGAACCACCTTAACAACACTGTTCTATTTCAGATCAAAGCATCGTTCTTGCTTTATCCCAGGATGCTATACATAACTACAATTACTGTCTTTTCATAAATAAAGTCCCTAAATTCAAGAAAGCTAAAAATAACATTTAATCTTTTTATTTTTTCCAAGAATTTTCTTCAGTACTAAATCACAGTATTGTTATTCTGCTTTCTGTTGGCTGGGCAAAAGCCACAGGGAATATAAAAAAAGAGGTAACTGTGCTCATTAAATGTCTATGCTTGAAATAAAAGGCAAGAACATGAAAATCTTTGGACACGCTTTACAGCTATATAAAGCAGCTAGTTTTTTGGCTTTCCTTTAAGAGTGAAGAGCCATCACACACACACACAGACACAGACACACACACACACACGCACACACACTATATACAGAAAGAATGCCTTTTCACAAGAACATCTGTGCATTGTGGTTAAGCTCCGCATTTCGTGTAAGAGCATCTAGAATACCAGTCCATGAACAGGAACTTATTTCTCATCTTCATTTTTCCTATCCATTTATGTAGAATTTTCTACGGCTTGTGGGCCAATTGCCAGAAACAGGCCAAAAGGTTATCCAAATTTCCTCTTTGTTCTGTCCTCTGATCCCAGCACCCTTGGCCTGGAGTGCTTTCTCCGTCTGCAGTCCAAACTCTTCCATTTCACCCTGGATCCAGGAAACATATGTGAGGGCCTGGTTCATGCCATGGAGCTGTGGCAAGATGCCCTGGGGCTGACTGGCTATGGCAGTGCTGATTGAGAGGAGGCCAAATGAGCAGGCTGGGTGGCTCTGACTCCCTCTGGGGTCAGCTAACCCAATCTCTATTATAATTTTTTAATGGAAAGTTCACCAATTTAAAAGATTAAAAAAAAAGAAAAGATCTATCAGAAGTCCACATTCAGACTTCAAAAGTATCACACATTAAACGTTGAAACTATGTAGCCTTACTTGTCTTCCAGAACTATATCCACCACTCCTTCCCCCGATGCGATCCTTTACGAGCTGTCGTACAGCACTGATAGCGGCATCTACAATGGCTTCAGCAGTTCTGCCACCTACAGGAAAACAAAGGACTGTCAGATGGCGCAATGGCGGTGGGCCACCTTGACATATTTATTGGCCAGCTTCACCTGACGTTCCAACAGATCTAACACATGTGTATTTAAGATACAGCACACTTTCTCCCCAGAATGCATCTTGCACTTGGAAAGCCAATTCCTCTTCTTCCATTTTATGTGATTAGTGTGAACAAGAACTTCTGCTCACCTGTAAATATCACCTACTAATGAGAAAATGGAGAATAATTCACCAAATCATTACTGAATGTATAACATGCACACAGAAGCTCAAGAAGCTTATTATCAAGTCAGGAAGACAGGGAACTTTCTAAATATAAAGTACCAACTGAGGAAAATACTATTTCTGTGAGACAATGGACAGGAAAACTTTGCAGAAAAAGTAGGCTATGAGGTGCCTTTGAAGCCAAGTAACTGGAAAGCAATCCAGGCCTCTTTTCTGGGAAGACATGGAGGTCACGCTGGAAAGCAGAGACAGGTCAAGTTGGGAGTCAGGCTGAGGAGTTTAAATGTAAACCATGGGATAGGTGGAGTCAAGATTTTTAGAACAAGCGAGCGGCAAAATGATTCAAGTATTTTAGAAAGATCTTTTAAGGGTAATGGAATAAAGGTTTGAATTTCAACAGATGAAGTAAGGTTTTAGAGTAAAGGATGGTTAGGATGAATTATTAAAGACCTGGAGACCTAAACAGAACTAATAAAGTTTCTTTCTGTGTATCATTCTGGGGAAATATAGTTTGCCAAAACCACTGAACAAGAGAGTATATTTTTATACTAAACATGTTTTGTTACATTATGTAATATCCTATACCATGCCTAGAATAGCAAGATACTGGAAACAACCAAAATGCCCATCAACAGGCTAATTCAAACAAATATTATGGAGCCATTAAAAATGATGTAAACGTATATCTACTGATATAAAGACATTCACAATATATTGAAAGAAACAAGGTTATAAAACACCATAAAGTGTGCCATATAATGTATTTTTAAAATGAAAATATACTTATTAAAACGCTTATCTACACTTTAAAAAATCCTAAAAACATCTACAAAATGCTAGCAGTTGTTATCACCAGGTAATATAATTTCCAGTGACTTACTTGCAATTTCCTTTTGTAATCAAGGCTTGAATATTTAAAAACTTGTAATACGTGTTCATGATACAAAATTGAAAAAGTATGTAGGGCTGTACAGAATAATGCCTTTCTTCTGCCCTTCTCTGATTCCCAGCCACCAAATCATTCTCCCCAGTTTCTCACGTATCCCTTCAGAGATGGTCTATCGGGTGACAAGCAAGTGTGGTGTATTTTCTTTTTGCACAAACGAGAGCATACGGTGCACCACTCTGCTGCTTTTGTATATTCCCTGAATATTTTACCTTAGAGGCTAACTTCCCAAATCAGAGAACTGCTTCATTTCCTTAAATGGCTACATGGTATTCCAACAAACAGATACATGATCATATATTTAAATAGGCCCCTTAATTGACCTGTATTATTTCCAATCTTTTTATTACAACTGAGGCTCAATGAATATCCTTCCCTGTATTTGTGTACCTTTACCAGCTATAAATTTACCTGCAAAAAAAATTCCTAGAGGTAGATATGCCCATTAAGACAAAGGATACATGCATTTTTTTTATTCCAGTAGGTTTAAACAGACAAAACCGGCAACCTATGAGAGTACCTGTTTCCCCACCCTCACTAAAAAAATTTTTTAAAAAGCTCCTCATTTGTAGTGAATGTTTGACCATACTTTCTGGATGCCAATCCATCTGAATGTTTTTGCTATATTCGAGGGATTTTCTCATATAGTTGTTTTCCCCCTAAATTCCCAGCTTGCTCTGCACCTAGGACAGACCTAGGCTCCCTCCATCAGGTGTACGGTGCCTGACTCAGGAGTTAGCAACCTGGGCGGCGGGCTCTGCGTGGAACCTGCTTTGCTCCAAGGCAGGCTGTTTCCTCCAGCGCTCACTGAGAGCCTGCATAGCACTGGTTTTCTCATCACAGTGGTCCTACAACGCGGTTCTGAGTCTTGATCCTCGAAGATTAGCCCTGAGCCAGGTTGTCCACCTCTCCCAAAGAATCTGTGAATGGTCCAATTCCTTTTAATAAGCTTTCCTTCTGTTTAATCAGCCAGTCATTCATTTCTGCCTTCCCGGGGCCAATGTCCACTAGATTTCAGGAACTCAAGCATTTATGGGTTGTGTGAATGACTGAGAACTACGTCTCAATGACTGAGAACTACTTTCAGGTTTATAAGTTTAGAGACCTTTTTAATCCTGCTGCTCCGAGACTCACATCATTGTAAAGGTTCACCAATCAAAATCTTTAAGAAATCAAATCCTCTAAGTAAGTCAATCAATCAAAACACTTTTCAATGACAATCTATTGCCCTAAAGACCAGGGGGCAAAAGCAAATATTATATTCAAAAAAACTGGCAAAAAACTTCAAAATTACCACTAAGTTTATCACACTGTTCACCTAGAACACAAAAAGGAACATTAACTTTTAACTAAAAAGGAGCACTCATTTTCATCCATGAGACGAATGAGACACTCATCCCCCCACCTAAAAAATTTTAAAGTCTCGAGAAAAACATAGGGAAAGAAAATCAATCAGACATACTGAAGAGTTTATTAGTTGTAAAATACGTTGAAGTCTACAAGAGATAATGCGCCATGAAATTCTCCCTTACTGACAGTGTAAATAGGAAAAAAAAAAAAAAAAGTTTAAGAACATACTGTTTAAATACCTGAATATTGTTTATGTACCCTATAAAGCAGTTTTACTCTGCACACATGGGGTTGCCATGAATCGGAATCAATTCAATGGCAATGAACAACAGGTTATGGCATATGTGCCAAGCATCTCATGAAATCAAATCTTCAGAAGACCCATGAAAGAATAAAAACAAAACATGCCCATTATTGGAGCTGCTGAACTTCAAGCATAGGAAGAAGAGCCCAAAGAATAAAGAAACGGAGCAGAGAGTGCTTGTTCTCTACTCATAAGCTATATCCTCCTTCACCCAGAGCAAGAGAACTCCCCTTTGCTAGGCCCAAGGTTGTCTGGAATAAATTCTACAATCCCCAGCCTTCTCTGCACCCACTGGTGAGCATGTGACTATCTTCTGAATAAAGGGGTGTAAGGAGAAGGGTGAATGCAACTTCTGAGAAGTATCCTTCTTCACTTCCCCTTGCCTCATGGCTAACATAAGGACACGATGGCTGTAGTTCCAGTCTGACCTTGAACAATGAGATGACCTTGGAAATGGAAGACATGCAATGCCAAGCAACCAGATAAAAAGAGTCCAGATCCCTGATACCATGAAGTATCATGCCAGCTGGGGACCAACACTTCCAGGACACTCTGAATGAGAGACAGAAATCAACATCTATCTTGCCTAAAACACTGTTATTAGGCCAACAGTTTCTGTAGCTGAATTTAATCCTAGTATGAGTAACAAACCCTGTATTTAAACTCAATGAGGCAAGATAATAATAGCATTTGGAAGTTTGCAAAAAACTGTATGCTGAAGAAAAAGTCAAGTGGATATTAACTGACACAGAAGTATAAGGGATAATATATGCCATGAGGCTGTTTTCAGAGTTCACAGGCAGAACTCTAACAGGATCTCTTTAGAAAGTTTCATCTTTTTTTTTAAATAAAGTTCTCTAGTCAAATTGCCCAGAAAATGCTGATTTTTGAGAATACTTCAGATCTGACATTACAAACAAAATACAGTATAGCAACACTAAGATTATGTTCAGCTAGTCTCAATCAGGGAAGCAGAACAAGATTATCAGATATGTCACTTCCATAATACAGCTGGGCAAGACCTCAACATAGAAACAGCGTACTGCTCCTTATCTACGTCAGTTATCTCCATCTTCTGAGCCAGTGCCCCTCTCCCAATCTTTATCTGAAAATATACCAATTCAAGAAATACAGTAGGCGTGTGGTAATGAACCACCTTACCAAAACAAAACAAATCTGGCCTTTGTCCTTGGTTCCTGAGAGAGAATGCTCGGAATTTTAGTAATTGAGGTGCTTTTATTATCTAAAATCTCCATACCACACCTGAGTATTTGTACTAATGAGTGGGACTGGCTAGACCAGAAAGACCACCTGGTCAGGAGGCATTATTTAATCTAGCATGTATATGTACTGAGGTCTCAATCGTGACTAGATAATGTCCGAGACCAATACAGACTCTGAACATGGAGGTCCTGAGAGCTTCCTTATTAGCAAAGGGAGGGCAACATGCTGTCTTTGGGATATGGAAGCTCTGCGTTGGGAACCCTCTCAGACTTCGCCCATGTGTCTCTTCCTTATGATGATCCTGATTTGTATCCTTTTGCTATAATAAACCTGTAATTACCGAACTCAAAGGAGTAGTGGGAACCAGACCCAGGGGAGGCCCCCAAGCTTGTGGCTGGCATCCTGAAAGGGTAGTAGGAAAACCCCAAATTTATAGCCAGTAGATCAGAAATAAGGCTGTTGTGCAGACTCCTGAGTTTGCAGATGGTATCTGCTTATTTGGCAGTCTGAAGGACAGTGTCCTTTTAACTTGTGAGCCTTGATCTAGCTCCGGGTGCCAGGGACAGACAGGGAGTGCTGTGTCGGTGGCTGGTGTCAGAGATGACTGAGAAGTAGGAAAGTAGTGGGGATTTGATTAATCTCTACGTTTTGGGGATTGGATTAATGGTGACTGTTATCCACATAACTAGGAAAAAGTATTGGAAATTGTTTCTCATCTTAGACGAGGGCTCTCAAGGGCCAGATGGTAAATATTTTAAGCATCACAGGCCATACGGTCTGCTGCAACTACTCGATTTTCTTGCTGTAGTGCAAAAGCAGCCATAGACAATATGTTAGCAGAGAGACATGGCTGTGTTCCAGAAAACTTTATTTTCAAAAACAGGCAATGGGCCAAATGCCAACCTTTGCTCTAAATGTTCGATTTTTACAAGTTAGCAAACTATACCAAATTATTATTCCAAAGCAGAAAAGCAGGCGTTTACTCAGAAAAAATGCACTTCATAGAACTTTAGAGTTGGGGAGTCTAGAAGAAAAGGCATATCCAAGGCCTTAACTAGGAGCCCTGGTGGTGCAACAGTTAAGTGCTCGGCTGCTAACTGAAAGGTTGGCTGTTAAAACCCACCCAGTGGCTGTTCAGAAGAAAGACCTGGCAATCTGTTTCCACAAATATTACAACCAAGAAAACACTATGGGGTAGTTTTATTTCTGTCCTGTAGGGTTGCTGAGTTGGAATCGACTCAACAGCACCCAACAACAACAAAGGCCTTCTTTCCAAGTATTCTGACCCCTAGCTTAGAGGTGTACAAAATACAGTGATTTCTACCAAGTATTTGTCTCATGTTTTATGTGTAGCTTTTTTTTTTTTTTTTAAATATTTTATTGTACTTCAGGTGAAGGCTTACAGAAAAAACAGTTTCTCATGAAACAGTAGTACACATGTTGTTTTATGACACTGGTTAACAAGCCCACAACATATTAACCCTCTAACTTCTCAACCCTTTTTTTTTGGTGAAAATACACATAGCCAAAGATATACCGTTTCAAAAATTTCTACATACACAGTTCAGTGAGACTGATTACGCTCTTCCAATTGTGCTATTATTCTCACTTAAGATGAAGGCTTACAGAACAAAA